CCAGTCCTCCAGCGATTGTACAGTGCAGGCAGCTGCGGTGCGGTAGCTGAGCGTGGACAGAACACACCAGAAGAACCAGCATTTCAATTATTATAATACTACAAGTGAAAATATATGTAAGTATTGATCATTTGTGTTGTTTGTGCTGTACTATACGGTCTGTTTCTTTATTGTGGTAAGTGAGAAGTAAAGCTGTGCTATGAAAGTTAGCTTTTGATACCTTTAGATCCAGAACAATGCAAGCTAAGTAGCCTAACGGTACGTCCACACAGCAGCTTTTCAAAAATCTTGAAAATCTTGGAGCTGGGCGTGTCTGAAAGCTTGGGGATTTCGCGACCAACAACCAATCACATGAATCTCCCGCCCCCGACATACAAAGCAAAAAACCCCGGTTCTTCTCCACTATTTCTTTTAACATTTTGAACATTTATGAGATTAATGTCTATGGTGCTATTTTATGCTACATTCCATGCTGGCTAATGATACTGTCTATGCTTGCTAGCAACGAAGTAAACTCGCAACGAAGTAAACTGAAGAGAGACCTGCACCAGCTTCATCCACGCTGGCGTTACTGTTGTCACTTGCTCAGTGTCATTTCATTTGACCACATGTCTTTACATATACCTTTTAATAGATTTGATTATTATCCACCTTTTTGTTTTATGTCCTTTTATTTAAAACATTCTTTGAGACTTCATCTTCTGGTTCAAATTTCAATAAATGTAATTTGTATAATCACTCTTTTGTCTTTATTCTACATGAAAATGTTAGAGATTACATTCAAATCTGTTGATTTTTCATATCTTCCTCAGGCTAGGAATAGTAAGTTGAGTTGTTAATGCTAAATGTATATCATTTTCTCACAGGATATAGAATGAGACAACACAGTTTGTATCCATTGTGTATGAATGCTTCAGCTCTTCAGACCAACATAGTAACATGTGAGCATGCTCCTAATTGTGTTGGTATGCAGCCTAGGTCTGGTCTGTTTCATAAAGCAAATCTGCCACTTTTATATTGTAGAATTTGTTAAATTAAAGCAGTCTTTAATTGTTTGTCCTAAACATAGCAATATATGCTTTTGAAATGAAATGTCTTTGAAAAATAACAGTATACAGTTTATATTGTGTATCACCTTTAGCTTGAAAATACATAGATGTGTTTTTTTAATCTATACAATTAATAGACAGACACTTTATCAATCCCAAATTGGGAAATTATTTAACAGCAGCAGTGTGTTCAGGTATTAAAATATTTAAAGTTGGAATAAAGTATAAACTACACAACACAAGTATAATGCACAGCAATCCATAAGATGAGTCCGATATGTTCATGAAAACTCCCCAGGAGACACCGACACACAACGTGGCCGAGTGGACTCCGGAGTTTGCTGCATGAGTTGCACTGTATGATCTGTGGTGTAGTGGGCTGTCACTCAAAAACTGAGTAGCCAATGGGGACACACCCCTGAAAGTCCCGCCCACCTGGGAGGTTTGTGTCAGAATCTCAAACAAAAAACGAGAAGAGCTGCAGCGAGAGCAAAAGTCTGATCATTGAGAAAGAAGAAACAAGAACTGCAAACAAAAACCTATGTTAAAACAAAGAAAACAATAATTATAGTTTACATGATTATACAAATGATTTGTTTGCAACTTATAGTTTTATTTTTGAAATTTATTTTATTTTGCGGATACAAGCGGATACAAGCCGCCGAGATTTTCTTCTTTTAAACTCATAGTTTTTGCTTTATTCTGAGAAAGTGTTGCTTTATCTTTATGATACAAAACTAATCCCATACAGGCCTCACTGAGGAGAAGGGAACGAGTGGTGTCAATCATAAATGTTGTATTTGATATGTTAATAGATTGTTTAATGTTACACTTCACACAAGCCAAACCTATTTGCAGTTCATATCTATATTTTGCCGCGTGTGACTGTACACACACACACACACACACACACACACACACACACACACACACACACACACACACACACACACACACACACACACACACACACACACACACACACACACACACACACACACACACACACACACACACACACACACACACACACACACACACACACACACACCAACACACACACACCACACACACACTGCTGACAAAATCTCTGAAACTGGAAAAGTCTAGGAAGTGAACTTGTTTGCTTAGATCAGGTTCAAGGTGATAAGATAATGACGAGCAGCCAGGTCAATGTGCTGGGGTTATGTGACATGTGGTATATAATACAAAAGAAATAAAAACAATAAATGAGGTCTCATATTGACACCATGTTACAAACAATCAAATAAATCAATAGGCTCATGATCTACTCTATAAGGCCTTTCCAAATAACAGATACACCAGACAAATCCCAACAAGTCTGTTTGCTTCCAAAATTAAAAGAAAATGTTTTCATACCAAATGTAACAATAGTTTAATACTGGTTTTCTTTACACTTTTGACATATGTACTGTAGCAGTTATTATATTATCATCTGCTTCACCCAAACTGAATTTCAGTTTTAAAACCAAAGAGTTGAATGCTGATCTTTTGGACATCCGTTAAAACTATTGCACCATCCCTTCATGTGCACACCCATCCATCGACTCTGACCATACATCACTTATCTACAGATTTTATAACGTCACACGCCGATTGTTGCATAAGACCACAAGGTCATGAGCGAGACTATATAACATGGTCTTTTATCTCCTTAATCCTGCTGTGACATAATGTGGCAGAATGTATTTTGGACTAAAAAGATTTATATAAACAATATTTTGCTTCAAAGGATCACAACCCATCTTTACCTAAGCTGAAAGACAACAATATGATTAAATAGTTTAATTTAATTTGAAATGCACTTTAATTCATGTCAACAAGGGCTCTCCTTTACTCAAATCCAGAGATGTAATTAATGAGGTTCTCCAGAATGTGTAAATACTCATAAGATGTTTATGAAATGATACTGGCCACGTTTGCAGCGGCTGAGCCAGTGACTCCTGACCTTTATTCCTTAAAAACTGGACCATGCATTTACCATAACCCGACTTTTATAGTGTCACCATAAGACCCTTTCTGCCTTGTAGATGTCCCACATCATATTTACAACGGCCTTTCTGTTATAAGTAACACCTTTCCATTCCAAATACCACGGTAGCATGAAGAATACATACTTTTGGGAAATACTACTCATAACATAACATTGTGCCTTGACCCTTTTGCTCATAGACCCTGTCCAAAGATTGTGAGTCATAAAGCCAGAAAAGCATGGAGCATTTGACATGCTGCAAAATATGACAAATGCTGATCATCCTGCTATTTTTGGGAATCAAATATTTTAAATACAATGTATTGGGCCATACTACATTTTCTGGCACACTAAATAGTAAATTGAAGGCACCCTGTGTACTGAGCTGAACTTTGAACATAATACTGATGCTGAAAATTCTCTTTTAAATGATTTCTGTCCATTAGTACCTAGTGACCAAACTGTAGCATTTCTGCAGAGAATGTAAGGCGTTTAAAGTCTCTATTCACATTAGTCCATTGTGAGACCTCAGATTAGTGTTCTGGAGGATAATCCCTAAACTAAACAAGAATAATCCAATGTATACTCATACAAATTATGTTCAGGACTTTAAGAGTGAAAAGGTTATTTGAGTTTTATTTCAAGCGACTTTGTTCTACTCTGATATACAGGTTCAAACAAGATTTGTTCTGGAACCAACAATATCAGAAAAGTATTACCATTCAAAAAAAAGTATGATTTCACACTATGTATTATGATTCGTCAATTCTATCAACATTATTAGTGGACTCCAGCTGTAGATGCAGTGAATTACTGAAGCTGTAACAGATACACAGACCATCATTTACCTCAATGTCTGGCAGGTCTTTGCTCAACATGATGCTGCTTCCGTCTAGTTTGGGGTCTAAATGCTCTCTGAAGATCTCCTGGAGATTGTCGCTGCTCTCTGGATTAGAGGTCCGAAGCACTGTCCGGGACTGTTCTGCTCCCAAGTGGAACTCTCCGGAAGTGTACTGTCCTTAAGAGGTACACTCCTCTAACTCACAGTTAGACAACATGTTGACTGGTTAAAGCAAATGAATGTTGTTTTACCCGGACTAATCTGTGGATAAGGCAGGCTGACCGGCAGAGATGATATGCAGGGTTGAAGTTCAGCTGATGGACAGCATGTTACTGGGTGCATTGCTCATGAGCTCTGGATCATCAAACAGTCACCACAGCCAACCGTCAGGTTCAAACTCCATCCTGGGTACTTATTTCTTTTTTAACTCCTTCCTTTCTGTCTCAATGATAAGTCTGCTTGTATGTGTATGGGCTAGAGCCGAGGCAGCTCTCAAAACTTTGGCAAAAGTTTAAAGGTGTTCCCTTTTTGGTTTCTTATACATTGGATCCATGGTATACCCCCGCACATTGAACAACAAAGAAAAAAAAAAAAATGTATATATATATAAATATATGTATATATATACTCTATGGTTCCACAAGAACCCTCTCTGAGGTTTCTAACCAGTACCTTCCCTCGTTCTAAGGGTGCTAATAAGAACCCTATTCTACAGAGAACCTGTTATATTGCTCGGGGCTCATCTAGAATCTAATGAAGGGGCCGTAAAAGGCTTTTAAGTGTAGCTATTGATAACCTTTAACCCTTTGTCTTCTTAAGGTTCTATCATAACAGTATTGTATTTTACAGATAATGCCAACATGAATTGAAAACCCCACCCCCCTTTTTCATTCAATTCCAGTGGCGAGCCGTCAGGGCCTAAAATATTCTAAAAAATAATATTTGAAAACATTAATATGTAAGTATTAAAACACCCGACAGAGCAAAGGAGAACAGAAAGGTTGGTAATAATTCTCTAACGAGTTACCCCTTTTTCACTACACATGATCATTTAAAACATCAATCCAGTATTTTAACTGCATTACTACATTTTCTGATTTAAAAAAACCTTTCTGGAAATGTTAAAACAAACACTTTATTATGTGTGTGAGCATGTTTGAATTAGACGTCATTGAGATAGAGCATCGAGGCAGCAGTGGCAAGTAGGGCGACAGCAGTAGCCATGGCAACACCTGAAATACAGAGAAGATTCAGGACAGATCTCGCAACTCATGATACATTTGAAAAGTGGTGAATGTGGCTGGTGTTATTTATATGAATGACAAATTATATACAGCTTTTTGACAAAATCCACTGAAGAAACTGAACCGTTGACTTTAACCAAATGTCAAAAAAATTCACACAATTGTATTAGGTTAGTTGAAACCTAATAAGTTGTATTTAAACTTAATATTATTGCTTTCAACTAACCTAATACAGTTATGTAAAATGTGTGTACATAATACATGAAATTAAATTAAACGTTTTCAGTGCAGGATCTTACACCCTTACAGACAAACACAGGTGCTCAACAGAGACTGTATAAGAAAGGGTCCTGACTGGTATATACAGTGAGATGAGAAACCTGACCAACTTAATCTAACAAGTGTTCAATTCTGCTAACATCAATGAAGAAAGTAATTCCCTTTACGGTGCATGAAAGGAGTGGGAAATAACAACACAGTGCTGTGTGCTTGTGAAACCAATGATAATATCTAAGAGGCATTTATCAGCTGGAACAAAAGCATAGCCTAAGCATACAGTCGTAATGTCCTGTGACTAACACGAGTTAGCTATGTTATATAACAGCTAGGGATATCCCGATCACCTTTTTTTGATTTTGACAATCTGCCGATACCGATTTTTCGCGATCTGATCTTTATGCAATGCATTAAAAGAAAAAAAAGGTAACAAGATAACGGCTGGTCATCCAACGCGATGAATTCAGCTATATTGGCTGTTATTGTTTTGGCCTTTTCACTGTTCTGGGGCAGTTTCTCTTTCCTTTTAAAAGTCTCTGAAAGTGTCGGTTGTGTCAGTGCCGTTCCCTGAGTGGCCGCTGTGTACTCGTCATGTTGTTGTTGGTGTTTGTTTCTCAGGTGGCGTATTAGATTGGTCGTGTTGAACGTAGCTCTGTTCTTTCCACCACGCGGAACCTCCGCCTTGCAAACATTGCATCTGGCTGTGACACTGCCTTCGCTTTCAATTTTATAATACTTCCAAGCTCCTGACATTTTCTCTGTCCCGACTCCCGAGTCACCAGCTGAACGTAGCCTCTCGTTAGCTGCTACTACTATTAGACACTGCGCCCACTCTGTTGCCAGCTTTGAGAGAAATAAGCAACCAGGTCTGAAAACAAGCCCAAAAGAAGCAACACATACATGATGTGTCATTTTCAACCAAAACTAAGGCCTCAGGATGACTTTAAGACGTGAACATGGTCATTTTTGTTTTGTAACATTAAATAAAATAAAAATATTTTATAAAAAAAAAGAAAATTCCCGATCCCCGATCTTTTTCTCCCGATTCCGATTTTTGGAAAATCACGTGATCGGCTCCGATCCCCGATCACGTGATCGGCTCCGATCCCCGATCACGTGATCGGATCGGGACATCTCTAATAACAGCCACTGTAAAGAGGTGGTGGAAGGTCCATGGGAATATTTGCTTGGCTGTAGGTCGGAGAAACTTGTTATTTTTTTAACAGAAAGCCTGCTATAAATATGATGTGGGGTTTAAAAGAAGTGGACACATTAACAAAGCAGAAAGGGTCAAAAGATGGTCCAGTATTTAAGGAATAAAGGTCTCAGTGGATGCAATCGTGACCAGTGTTATTATTGCTTGTGATGCAATGAGTGTTAGTGAGCCTGAAGGTCTTGCAGTACACAGTGTTTTACCAATAAAGCTGTTCCTCTTTGGCTCAAGTGCTACAACCGTCTCCACAGTGGGCTCTGGAAGACACAACACATCATTTCATCAACTCGTTTATAATAATACAATGTCTCAGTCAAACCTGGGTATTTGAAGGAATCAGGTAAAGATGGTATTCAGATAAGTCCTTTACATGGACTGACATTACTGGATTTCAGCCAACTGTTTCTAAACAGCTGGGACAGGTTGGTAATCAGAGAGAGCACAGACTTTATTTACTGTGGGCCTGTGGTTTATAAACAACATACTGCATAGCTGTAGGAATGACTTCATTCAAGTTTTGGATTGGATTGAATGGATAAATGTGTCCAAGGCTCCCTGGGGTAATGGTTGTATCTTCTCATGGCCTCGCATGATATGTGCTTGTAAGAATAAAATAAGAATAAAGTGGCAGTAAAATTCACTTAAACACTCATTTAAATTTGGTTATCACATGTTTTAAGTTCTAATATTATTCAAGTTTATAAATATATTTTGAATAGTGTAATATAGGTCAAGAATTCTACAGTCTGGGGATGTCTTTAACCTAAACTCTGATCATCATGTAATCAATGATGTGATAAGAGAAAGGGAATGAAAACTGGTACTTTTATGTGCTGTAAATTAAACTAATGTTGGTGTTAAAGTCCTACTCTACGAACTGTATTCATTCTTACCTGCTCCAACCTCCCTCTCAGTGATCTCCCCCGGCGCCTCCTGGCTGCTATCCAAGTCTTCCTCGGCTGCGTCGATGTCCAGCATCTCCTTCAGCCGCTCGGTTACCTCACACACACTCTCGTCACTGAACTGGTAGTCACACACACACAGTGGCCCGCTCGCCTTCAGCGGGCAGAAGACACGATGAGGGAGACAGAAGAGCTCTGAAATACAGAAGGAGTCCGAGGCACAGTGGGGAGAAAGGTTGAGAGGGAATGTTGGTGTCCAATAAGACTGTAATTATCAATAAAGACTCTAAAGTGATTTGATGTAAATGAATGAAACACCAGCCACAGCTACCACAAGTAGCACTAGCATGATGGTGGCACATGTTCCTTCATTTCCCAACTGCTCTTTAGTTAGTTGCTTTGAAGCCATCATTTTAAGCATCATCGGGTGACTTGACTGAAGGTGCAGTCACACAGACATATAACAATTCATTGAAATAAGTAAAGGAGCAATATTTATTTTTCAAAGCTTGTTTGAACATTTAAAAGTGAATAAATGAAGAACATTATAAATATATAAAAAGGAAAGATCCCAAATAAAACAACAGTGAGTCAAAACAGAAACATCACTACATTTGGCAGTGGTCTGATCCAATAAGCCAACACGTGGGGTTTCTTTTCCCAATAAGCCAATCAGACATCTTGCACCATCATAGTTAAAGGTAAGGTAGGTAATTTTGGAGAAACCAGCTCGCGTGCGCTAGAATTTGAAAGTACACCGGACAAAATCTGCCCCTTCCTTCAGACTTCCTCACAGAGCCCCTCCTCCAACACGCACATGACCAAAGAGGGCACGAGATAAGTTTGTGCACAGATGGAAGGCTGACAGGCAGGTAGGCCATCCAGTTATTTTAGCCGGGCCGGCTCAGATGATTGGTCGTGCTTTTTACAGCGCTACGGCTTCCACAGATGTCAAAGCATTTAATGTATTCATTGCTATCGGGACGTTAAGAGCATTCCATGGAATATAACAAGTGTTTCTGAAGTGAATTACCTACCCTACATCTACATGACCCAGGCTTCTCTTTAGTAGTCTGTTTACCCACAATATTATATTTTTCCCTTTGCTTATGAGTATATATATATATATATATTTGCCCAAAAAAAAAGCTATGGAATCAGCCCTATATATATATATATATATATATATATATATATATATACAGTACCAGTCAAAAGTTTGGACACTCATTCAATGAGATTCTACTTTTGTAGATTAATACTGAAGACATCAAAACTATGAAAGAACACATGTGGAATGATCTAGTAAACAAAAAAGTGTCAAAAAAAAATCCAGAATATGATTTTTATTTTATATTCTTCAAAGTAGCCCTTTTTGCCTTGATTACAGCTTTGCACACTCTGGGCGTCTCTCAGTCAGCTTCATGAGGTCGTCACTTGGAATGGTTTTCAATTAACACGTGTGCCTTGTCAAGAGTCCATGTGTGGAATGACTTGCCTTCTTAATGTGTTTGAGGCCATCAGTTGTGTTGAGCAGAGGTAGGGTTAGTACACAGTGGAAAGCCCTATTTGATTACTGATCATCACTATAATAAATGAAGGCCAGTCGATCCGGAAAATGTCGAGAACTTTGAATGTATCCTCAAGTGCAGTCGCAAAAACCATCGAACGCTATGATGAAACGTTGGGTTACATATTGTAACCCTTGTTATATTAGCACAGGCGAAGCCCTCTACTGGACTATATGGGTACTACCCTCTATGCCAGTGGTTCCCAACCTGGGGGGAACCACTGGCATAGATCGCAGGGGGGGCGCCAGGCCTCAGATGATTTGAGGCAAAATATCATTTATCTTTTTTTTTTTTTTATTTATCTTTTTTTTTTAACTTAAAATTGTAACTCAATACATGATTTTCACTAAAAACCTTGTCTCTTCATTACAATACAATATAAAAAATAATTGATTAATTCATTTGAATACAAATTCAAGTTAGTAGCTATTAAAGGCATACAAATACAAAAATGTATACTTTTTTCTTTAATAGAAATGTTTCTTCTGCCCGTAAAGTGTCCAAACCAGGCTTTTCTGGATAAGCTCATTTTTAAAACATAGTCATTGTCCATGCCGGTTTCAGTTGGATTATTTGTCACAGTTTCTCCGATCAGATCGGTCTCCTCCATTTAGATTATTTACGACTTTTGAATCCACATAAACACATCGGCAAAATCCGGCTTACTTTGAGCATGTGTTTTAAACAGTGCTGTCCTTTTAATTTCTTCATACAGCGGGAATCCAAATGAATTAATCCTGATAACCATATAATAACCATCAAAGTCACTCCAATAGTGCTCCTTAATTACGCTTTCATCGTCCTTTAACAAAATACTTCACATTCATCCAGTTTGTGACAGTAGTTGTAGCATTTTGAGACTTTTAAACTTTAATTACCGCTGTTGTAGGCCGTTGTTGTGAGTGTGGATGGTCGGAGCATATATAACGTTAGCTTAGCCAAGCTCCATTTAGAAAACACGCATTTTAAAAGGGTTTTTCGCCTGCCGTCTGTCTGCAGACTTGTCAAAGCATTAATTCATGGTTTGTACTAACCGGTATCAGTATGTTGTTACTTTGGCATCATTTGGAAATGTGTATTACAATTAAATCACGGTCAAATATGTTCATCTTGTTGTAGTTGTAGCCCCCTTGCCAGCGATTCTCTCTCTAGTTTATCATACTCAGCCTGGTTGTTCCTGGCCCTAGAACCACGATTTTATGGGGCCAGAAAAACTGTGAATTAGGACCCGCTAGCCGGTACTAGGCCAAGTGGAAACGCAACCAAAAACGGGCCCCGCACGGCTCGGCACGCTTAAAGCGAGCTACCCGCTGCAGTGGAAACGCGCCATTAGATTTGGATACAGATCAACCTCTTTCTTATTAGAAAACGTAGTGATCTGTGCATTATACAGGGAGGAGGCGGGATTTGCCCTCTCGTCCCGGGCGGAGAGATCTTCTCCCCCCGCCAGTCAGATCCGTAAAGACGGGCAGCCCGTCCCTGTGAGTGCCGGTTCCACGGGGTGGGCCGAAGACGTGGGCACGGGATCTCCGTGCCGGTGTTACCGAACAAGATGTGGCCCGAACAACTGGTGATATTCTATAACGGTATAGGCAGATGTATCAGGGACGTGGCCTTTGTCGAATAACCAGGAAATACACATTTCGATTGCTTCTTCTGTCGTTTAACACACACACACACACACACACACACACACACACACACACACACACACACACACACACACACACACACACACACACACACACACACACACACACACACACACACACACACACACACACACACACACACACACACACACACACACACACACACACACACACACACACACACACACACACACACACACACACACACACACACACACACACACACACACACACACACACACACACACACACACACACACACACACACACACACACACACACACACACACACACACACACACACACACACACACACACACACACACACACACACACACACACACACACACACACACACACACACACACACACACACACACACTTTTGGTTCTAGCCGCCATGTCTTTGTGAGACGCAGAGAAGGTGAGCGGATGGTTTCTGTGCGTGGTTCCCCCCGTGAAGCATGGAGGAGGAAGTGTGATGGTGGTGGGGGGGGGTGCTTTGCTGGTGTGATTTATTCAAAATTCAAGGCACACTTAACCAGCATGGCTACAACAGCATTCTGCAGCGCCATGCCATCCCATCTGGTTTGCTCTTACTGGGACCATCACTTGTTTTTCAACACACAATGACCCCAAACACACCTCCAGGCTATGTGAGGGCTATTTGACTAAGAAGGAAAGTGATGGAGTGCTGTGTCAGATGACCTGGCCTCCCCATCACCCGACCTCAACCCAATTGAGATGGTTTGGAATCAGTTGGACCGCAGAGTGAAGGAAAAGCAGACAACAAGTGCTCAGCACCTCTGGGAAGTCCTTCAAGACGGTTGGAAAACCATTCCAGGTGACGACCTCATGAAGCTGACTGAGAGAAGCCAAGAGTGTGCAAAGCTGTCATCAAGGCAAAAGGGGGCTACTTTGAAGAATATAAAATAAAAATCATATTCTGGATTGTTTAAAACTTTTTTGTTTACTACATAATTCCATATGTGTTCCTAACCTTCGAATGAGAAGGTGTGTCCAAACTTTTGACTGGTACTAACTGTATATAATATATAGGGCTGATTCTGTCACTTTTACCACGTACCAAATTAGCAATATTAAAAAAACAAAAATTGACTATTTTCCATCATTTTCTTTTGGGGGGAAATATTTTGTCAATTTTAGTTTTTTTAATATTGCTAATTTGGTACTTGGTAAGACCGTGAGACAGCTGGGTTGGGTAAGATGTGTACTTATTCTCTTGTGTTCTTGACGATCATTAAATGTTTGACCTTTGACATGCACTCAGTGTAACAGTAGCAAATGTTAGAAAATGAATAAAAGAGTCATTAAGTCAGTGAACAACTCTGTAGTGTTAGATAAAACAGCAGTATTTATCTTAAGTTAGTCACTATCATCTGAACAGAACAGCATGCTTGTTTGCATCAACAACCATGATAGGACTATTAGGAAAAGGGAGATAAGCAGTTGGATGATGATTACAGCAATACAGCAAATAAGTGTGCAACGAGATGATGTCATTTAAAAGAGCATTCAGACCTCAAATTATATAAAAATAAATAATAATAAAAAACATATAAAAAGGATGGCAACATGATATTTATGTTTCATATGTGAGGAAGGTAACATTTATTCACTAACTCTTTACACCACTAGAAATCAAGCTTTAGTCAGGTAATCATTTGCCCACAGTTGAGCAGACATCTTCCTATCAGCATTCTAATCCTTTCTCTTCACTGTGATTGGTTGAACCTAAACCCGCCCACCTCAGCCTTAACCTCCTACAGCCAAACAAGCTCATAACTCGTGAATCATACACTGTGTGTGTGAGTGTGTGTACCTCTCTTTTGTTTGCTGCTGCTCTTGTTCTCGTCTTCAGACGTCAGCAGCTCCTCCAGCAGCATCTGAACCCGTGTGGTTACCGTAGCGACGGCGTCCCTCTTCAGCAGCTGTCCACAGATTCATGACAACACGATGATCGTTCACTTGTAATTCTCATGAACTACAACATTAGACTGTTCAACTCCTGAGCTATGTGCCTTCACAACATCATACCATTCATATGTTTGCATCTCAATATGTATCTATTATTACAGTAAGCAGTTTTTAATTTCACTCTACAGCATTTCATTTATATTCTATCTTTAGCTTATCATTTTCTATTTGACTTGTAGTTAACTTCTCCTGCATCACGTGCACTCTGTTTCTTCTTGCACTGTTTGTCTTGTTTTTTTAATTTGTTTTATTGTCTTATGTCGTTATATTTATGTTGCATTATTGGAGGAGCCTGGAACTTCAAATGGTCATTGCATAGCTACTCTGTAGTTCTGAGCATATGACAATAAAGCTGGAGTGACAAACACTTCCATGAAATGATGTGGCTTTAGAAGCACTCGTTCCAATTAAGCAGTCCGTAATGAGGTTAAGTTTCACAATGTTTAATAAAGGAAGTCAAAGAACACAATAACCAGAGTAGAACCCACTTTCTCTTTCCACACAATCCCAGCAGGTGGACTACATATTTTAAATCACACCAGGGGACAATTGTCAGTGACTAATTTTGGTGTAAACAAATGATGATATGATATGACCAAATAAGCGTTTTGGCTCCTACAAAAGTTGTTAAACTCGAACTTTGAACATTACCTTCTGCGCCAGCCTGGCCTTTGGTTTGTTGCTGTGCAGGTACGCCCTGCTGTGGACGGCTCCTCTGATGGACACACTGCCTCCACACCGCTGCTCCTCATCTGCTAACCTCTGCTCGCTCTAACACAACAAACTAGGTTCTTTACAAACAGCAAGTACAAGTGTCCGACTGAGTTCAAAGCTTCATTCGTTAGAAGCTTCACTCGTTAACTTTTTACCTCTGATGACAGCATTTACTCTTCAAAAACTATAAAAGTGGTGTTAATATGTAGAGATTATCCAGCCGTATCATAAACGTCTTCTGCAACATTCCAAAATCCAATGGATCTTCCCATTGCTTTTTATCGATGGACTCCTTATGATGATAACTTCTGGGTTGGCCTACAAAATACGTCATCACTGCACCGCTCTATTGAGGGATTGGCAATACATATATAGTATATATATATATATATATATATATATATATACGTATGTATATATACACATATATTATAAAAGGGCTTATACAGTACAATTTGCAACACAAATCTATTTATTTTATTAAGAAAAGCATGACTGACAAATGATGGTCAACAATATTTTCTACAGAAGTATTCTTTTTTGTTTTATTGAGTTATGACAGGCGTGTGTGTGTGTGTGTGTGTGTGTGTGTGTGTGTGTGTGTGTGTGTGTGTGTGTGTGTGTGTGTGTGTGTGTCCCTTACCGGTGTGACGAGTATCTGAGCTGTGTACGTCTGTCTCACGTTCCTCTTCTGTAGAGACATATCACACACAGTGGGTTAGAATAATACTGCAGTTTTTCAATCCAGAGAATCAGTTAGATTCAGCTCTGCATTCAGGCTTTAAGAAACAAAAAAAGTGCAACAGGGATGAGGCCTATTGGCAGTCTGCACGGGCCTTATGCATTCATACCACATTCACTCCCAACATGCTGTTGAGCAAGGGTGCAGCAATGTTTTTTCTTTAGGTCAAATCTGATTTTATAGATTTATTTTGCTATATGTTTTTCTTAGTGTTGGTCAGATATGTAAAACCTGTCCTCCGGGGAGCTCTGCGTCCTCTGCCAGCTTTCTCCCATCCATCAGACACACTCCGCTCTCCAGCCGCTGTGCCCACCCTCTCAGCTCCTCCTGAAACAAAGAGCTTTCTACTGAAGTTCCTGCAAATGAAAGTGTGAAAGTGTGTGTGTGTGTGTGTGTGTGTGTGTGTGTGTGTGTGTGTGGTGTTTGGCACTAACCTTAAGACATTTATCCATGTTTTCTGGATCCGTCTTGTTGTCTGGTAGCGGCACCAACAGGTCCACATGTAGACAGCAGGACACCATGCTCCAGGAGGAGCACACCCCCGCCTGGTACCTCCAGTCTGCAGGCTTGGCCGTGCTCTGGAACAGATCATCACATTAACATTATTGGAACTACACAAGCTTTAACCTTCAGACCCTGATCTCAATGGTTCCCGGTCAACAAATATGCCGCTGCTTTTTATTGAAATAATAACTACTCACATCTTAAGCTGCACTGGAACTTTAATTCTGGTATTTATAACAAACATTCTATTTGATCTTTTCGCTAACAGTGTTTTATTATTTGTCCTTATATATACACTTTTGCTGTACAAATGTAAATGTCCCCTCATTGGGACGAATGTTTTTAAATACTACATAAACATAATATTATAATACAGTATAATATCTTAATGCTTTTAGGGTTTTATGAAAAGCACTTTGAATTGCCTTATGTGAAAATGCCTTTGAAGTGATGCTTCAGGAGAACAAATGAATGGAATTGATGGAGTGGCTTGAGTATTCTATAAGTGTTGAGACAGCAGATTGAAGCGGTGGTTCTGTGAGAGAAAGGTAAACACACCTTGGGATCTTTGACGTCAAAGGTTCTGCAGAAGGTTCTGATATGTGGGGTTAAAGAATATCCACACAGTATCTGCTGGCTGACTGAAACAATGAGCAGGCGGAGTGGAAAGGATACTTCCTGGTCTTGCGGTTGACGTGCAGTGCGACACAGTCTGAGACGTCATCCTCTGCAGGGCTCCACAGCTGCTCCGAGGAGACCAGGCTCTCCATCGCGAAGACCAACTGAACACAGAGTACACACACATCAGAGGATTAAACACACTCACAGGAACATGCACACAAGCCATGGAAATGTGATGTGGAAATCCCTTCCAGAGCTTACCAGAGCATCACAAACACAGAGTGCTTATTTGATAAAGCCAGAGTATATATACAGACAGTAAATATGAGACTGAAAATGGATGCTGATGTTTAGTTAAGGGAGACATCACAAGTGAAATAGACAGAACAGAAAATAACTGAATACATTGGGTGACACGTCAGGATCACGGCAACACAAAACAACAAACAAAGCAACAAATCAAATGTTAAGGTTAATAGTGGGAGTTTTTGTATTAGCGCGCAGGGCAATCTTCTGTGTGAGGTTCTTGTGTGTGTGTGTGTGTGTGTGTGTGTGTATTGTTGGTTGGTAGTTCCTCGCTCCAAGTTTTAGACAGAAATTCATTTGATTCAACTCTCTCTTGTGACCTAACATCTGTGAACACCTTTAAAAAAGCACTTCAAGATGAATCTGTTTAGACTTTGTGTGATTTGGCTCTAGTGGTGTTGCACTTTGTATCTGAACTTTGAGGGCCTAAACAATACTTTCAAATGCAATTTTCTTCAGCACAACATTTTAAAATGGTGAAAATGTATTAAGAATAAGCGTATTGTTATGAGCGGGCAACATGGCTCAACAGCATCACCTAGATTGCAGCCCCAACATGTGCCATTTGCCTTTATGTACGGAATTCAGAAGGTATATGTCACACATGGAAACAAAAAAAGGGCTATTGGAGGAATACCATCATTATTTATTTAGGTTTTCATTTTTTTTCTCTGTTCCTCAAAAGGTACTGCATCAGTAAACGTAGGTCCTGACAAGTCACAACAACTTTATAATCAAAGGTAATCATATATTGTAATGTTTGTTCGCCCCCTAGTGGCCAGAAACGGATTGCTGCAGCTTTAATTGTGCGTACATCATGTACATGTACGCCGTGTTTGTATGAATTGTACCTGTCGGAGTGTGGTTAGTGTGTCCTTTGCCTCAGTATCAGTGATGATAAATACTCCCAGTACAGAGAGGCCTCCAGGTAGCATCCGAGACACCTGGAAACAGATCAAACCAGGAGATGATGAACAGTTTCAAATCCTGCAGGCAAAGCGAAAATACATCTTAAAGTGTGAATGCTAGAAAGAGAGAAACAAGTTTAAGTTTGTTTTGTTTGTTCTTGGCTAAAGAACAAATAGCTTCTACAAAATCATTACATGGAGGCGTGTGGGTTAGTGCGTTGGTGTCAGGGGGTCACAGGTTCAAACCCCACTGCAGTCAGCATGTCGTTGTGTCCCTGAGACACTTCACCCCAAAGTGCTCCTGTGGGGATTGCCCACAGTATTGAGTATGTAAGTCGCTTTGGATAAAAGTGTCTAACAAGTAACATGTCATGTAGATACATTTTAAAAGGTATTCAACAAAGTGGAATTCAATTTGTTATATACTATTTAATGAGTGTGTTCTCCAAACCCCTACACACTCTGAACTTTTGTAGTTCATTTTATACACACTTATTATCTAATAAAGCACGCACCGAGGGATACCTTTAATCAGCCAAAAGGAACAACCAAACTGATTGGACAGCCACATTAAAGGTGGGTCATTTTCCTTTTGAGTTCTCAGACCACCGGAGTATTAGCACAGAGCGTACCTGTCGAGCGTGCTCGCTCACCCACTCCTTGTCCACAGGGTTTCCTGCAGGGGTCTCCTCCCTAGGAGGCGTCCGAGTTGCCATTACGACAAAGTCCCTTTGGGGTGAGCTCTGAAATGTTAGTCATTAATATTGATTACTGTCTAATCAATTCACGTACGATAAATACTCTTTCATTTAATATTATGTGACCTAACAATCCAATACATTCAACAAAGTGAGACACTAACTGCACAATTAATCAAAGTTTAAGCAAAATCGCAATATGGGCTAGGGAGATATTTAAGAAACAGGAGGCACAGTTTTTGTTACAGACAAATTATGTGTAAATATTCATCTGAATGAAGGATGGAGTAGCTCCATAGAGGACCCAGCATACAAATCATATTCTACAGGCTTCAAAAAATATCTTTGTGAGGTACAACAATCACACCATGATCATTATAACTTTGAATGATAATGAGAATAATCACGCAAACATGATCAATTGCTCCAGTATTGCAAATCATATTGCAATATCAGTTAAATAGTTACCATGTATCAAGTGTGCAGGCCTACTGCACACTTCATGACAGATAGATCAACAAAAGAGAAAACAGAAATGTGTCTAAAACTTGAGTTTTGTGCAAGTGATTATTTTCTAGCTTGTCTTGCAGTTTGGATAGCAAACTGTTACTCCGAGGCAGAAGTCCACCAGTTAACAGGACAGGATTACTGAGCAAAAGTTGAACTCCACATAGATGTTTCTGTATCACCTCACCTGTCCAAGTAGCAGGCCTGTGACTGAACCTGCTTTCTGTTCACACAGTTTAGACAGACATCCCTCCACAGCATCTTCTACGATATAACTGCGACCCATACTGCCTGAGGACAGAGAGGAAAGAGAGAGGGGGGGAGGCAACATCAGTTATAGACAATGTTAGTCTTTATAAACATATCTGCAATGAGAAAGTGCTGGAAAATGTGGAAGAACACAGCAAATACTTTGCATACGCTTGCGATATAAAACTAAAGTAAACAATACAAAGTACAACTTAAGCTCAACGTTAAGTCCTATGCTTAAGGGTTGTATGCTCTAACTTTAGCCTACTGGTTTTATTGACTTCATTAAGCTAACGTTAGATGGTGAGTTCCAATTGAAATTAGTTTTTGCAGCTTGAATTTGATGTTTTTCGGAGAAATGACCAGACAGAAGCAAGACAGTGGGTAAAATATGAGCCAGAAGGCAGGATACTTGCTATTAATTCTGACAGCAGGCAATGGTTCGTCAGGATTCGTAAGCAGTGCAGAAAAACTCTAGTTACCACTATGCTTTGCGCAATGACGTATTTCCGTCGCACGACTCTGTCGTAGGGGTCAAGTTACACAAGAAAACGGAACATTGTAAATGTTTTCCAAAATAAAACTTCCAACAGTAACCCAAACACAAAAACGAGTTGTCAGCATCAGAGTCTCAATGCGTTACTTCGGTTTGAATCCATCTATCGAGGTACTTTAATTACGACTTTTAAATGTCAAAGGGTAGTTACAGTTAGGCTTAACTAAAGTAAAACACATTGCAATGTATTGTTACTGTTATCATCATTGAAAATAGCAATGTTTTCCTTCAGTTTTTTTAATATGAAATTGAATTTTGTTCCACATAAAAAACAGATGTTTTTACTCCACCAGTCATTTTAAATCATAGGTGCAAATCCTAGGCTAGGTGGCTTCCTGGTTAAGTCACAGCGGGCTTGGTTGTCAATGAGTACTTTATTTTGAAACTTTTCAACGCTTCCCGCTTAGAAGTGTGCTTTAAAACCATACAGTCTATGTTTAAAACTCGGTTATTTCAGCGGGTTTGTGGACAGTGCGACAATCATTTTACCAGCGTTTTTGCCATTTACTATTAATATTCAGGAAGACCGGGATAGGTGGAGATGGCGGCCGTCCTGCTGCAGGTTCTGGAGCGGACAGAGTTGAATAAACTCCCGAAAGGAGCCCAGAACAAGCTCGAGAAGTTTGTTACGGAGCTGCAGAATGCTAACGAGGCGCTCAGGACGCAGCACGAGCGCTTCAAAGCAGACAGCGGTAGGTAGCAACACTTTAGTAGAAAGTAATAAGCTCGTTAGTATGTATAAAGTGATTTAAAAACCTCATGCCAAACTCCAGTATGATGTGAAGCTGTCTTCTGGTAAATTCGGCAAAAGGCAAATACATGTGTGTCCTCCTCAATGTTTAAATCTGCCAGCTAACGTTAGCTTCAGGGGCTAACTTTAGCAGACGACGCTGAAATTAGCTTTGAGCTATATACTAAGACATTTTCATAAAAAGCCTTTTGTCAATTATTTGTCTCATTTATCAACATATAAATACTTTTAATTTATCTGCCACTAACACCTGCCATAATTTCAGACCCTGCTCTTCCTCTTCTTCCCACCATTTGCCCTCATCGTGTTCCTACCTTTGCAGTCCCCTGACCTAACTGCCTGCAGACATGATCCTCATTACCCCATTATCCATAGAGTTTATACTGTAGACCTGCACAGCAGCCCTGTCAGGAGCAACTCGGGAGATTTCGCTGATTTTTTTCGCATCTATACTACATTAGACCTGGTCCTGATCTAAAACCACTATACAGTACCTAGACTCATCAAACACAACATAAAAGGTTGCACAGCAAAGTGGTCCATGCAGGATAAAAAAAAAATAGGATAGTTTAAAATCACAATTATAATCAGGAGACATGATACACAGTATGGCAAATGACTGGGCTGCTGTGCAGGTCTACAGTATAAACTCTATGGATAACATAAATGGGTGGATAATACTCTGTTACAGTAAAAGTCCTGCATTCAAAATGTTACTCAAGTAAAAGTAGAAAAGTATTAGCATCTAAATATAGTTAAAGGGGACCTATCATGCAAAATGCACGTCTTTTATACGTGAATATGTGTCCCCGGTGTTCCAGGGAACTCATCAAGTGTCAGAAAACACAACCCTCTCTATTTTCCTCCATACCCAAATCTCTAAAAAAGGGGCTGCAACGGATCTGATACAGACTGATCCAGATTTGAACACTTTACTGATGTCAGTAAAGTGGCGCTACGGCTATTGGTCAATTCTCCACCTATCAGGGGAATGAGAGGTTGGGCCACGGCCGGCCATTGCGGCTCGAAAGCGCTGGAGACGCTGTAGTACATATACCAGGCCTGTAAGTGGCGCTGTAGTCTGCCACAAAAGCAGCGAAGAAGACTTCCCTTGCATGGTTGCCATGGTTGCCCTTCTGTTTATTCTCCGCTGTGGCTCTTTTTCTCCCTCCCCGAGGCAAGCGTTTGCGCCTCCTGCTTTAAAACAAATGAATAATGACTCTATATAATCATCTGTAAGGGATAATGTGCAGCTACGGGTCATTATGGGGAAAACAACACCGACAGGCTGATCAGGAGCCCGACACGAAGCGGAGGGATCTAGATCGGCATGAAGGCACATTATGCAATGTGCACATTATGCAATGTGCACATTATCCCGCTTATTACACATGGCCACATTCTCGACAAAGTAACAACATGACTCCCAATATAATTGAAATGCTTTTATGGATTTAGAAAATGATTTTATTGATTTAAAAAATAGTTGTATGTAGGGATGGGTACCGAGCCCCGGTATTAAATGGGCCCCGGTGCTGAATTATTAAAGACCGTGGTACCGTTAAGCTCCGACGTTATCGGTCTTTTTATCGGTACTGGAGACATGTAAAAAAGATGTCGTATGTATTATTGCTACACAAACATTATATTGCAGTTTTAGTGTCGCCAACTCCGTTTCTAATACGTAAGACAATAACATCCCATTTCCAATATGCAAAAAACACTGAAACTTGTTTATTTATTTATTTTTGGTTCATTTATAGTTGTGAGTGTGTCTGTGCTCCTGAACCAGCCTCTCCTGTCTCCCTCCTGCTCCTCTTTGAGGCAGCTGCAAAGACTAGTTTTAGCTCTCAACAAGTTGTAAAAGTGTATCTTACCTTTTTTCACCTACTTAACTTTATTATTTTTTATTCATGCATATTTTACTAATCACTCCCCCCTCAAATGGAAATATGTGTTACTGTTTACATAAATGGTGACCAACCCGTTTGAGACCCACTGAGAACTTAGACTAAGTTAACTATCTAAACACACCCCAGTTTCTAAAATAATATCCAGGGGATGCATGCAGAGCTGTCATTGGCTGAGATCAGTCCGGCCGTGCGTCAAGCCGCCACCGTTCCAGGAAATGCATCCGCGGAGGAGCCGTGGAGGAACCATCAGTGTATCCTCGGTTAGAGCTCCTCCAGAGAGCCTCCTCGACGCTCGATCCTCGGTCCTCGGTGTGCATTGAGAGAAATGAGATGTCCTTCAAAATGGCGCACTGAAATTCATTTCCGGGTCACTACCGGAGGACCGAGGGGTCGAGGAGGGGAAATTTGAGTATTGAGAAGCCTCTCAAGTCACTCTCGAGTCACCACTCTTCGAGTCCAAGTCCGAGTCACCAAGAGAGAGTCGTAGTCGAGTCCGAGTCCAAGTCTGAGTCACCCAAGGAGTGTCCGAGTCGAGTCCGAGTCATCATTACCTGTGTTCGAGTCCGAGTCCAAGTCCGAGTCACCCAAGGAGTGTCCAAGTCGAGTCCGAGTCATCATTACCTGTGTTCGAGTCCGAGTCACCCAAGGAGTGTCCGAGTCGAGTCCGAGTCATCATTACCTGTGTTCGAGTCCGAGTCCAAGTCCGAGTCACCCAAGGAGTGTCCGAGTCGAGTCCGAGTCATCATTACCTGTGTTCGAGTCCGAGTCCAAGTCCGAGTCACCCAAGGAGTGTCCGAGTCGAGTCCGAGTCATCATTACCTGTGTTCGAGTCCGAGTCCAAGTCCGAGTCACCCAAGGAGTGTCCGAGTCGAGTCCGAGTCATCATTACCTGTGTTCGAGTCCGAGTCCAAGTCCGAGTCACCCAAGGAGTGTCCGAGTCGAGTCCGAGTCATCATTACCTGTGTTCGAGTCCGAGTCCAAGTCCGAGTCACCCAAGGAGTGTCCGAGTCGAGTCCGAGTCATCATTACCTGTGTTCGAGTCCGAGTCCAAGTCCGAGTCACCCAAGGAGTGTCCGAGTCGAGTCCGAGTCATCATTACCTGTGTTCGAGTCCAAGTCTGAGTCACCTAAGAAGAGTCCAAGTCAAGTCCGAGTCACAAATCTTCATGTATTAATCTTCGTGGATATATGTGTTGAAATGTAGCTGCTCCTCTACATTGCTTTTATCCTGTCATGTTATACTAATCGGTCTATTGAACTGCTGTGAAGCCAGTTTGGCTACTATTCTTGTAATAGGTGCTATACAAATATATAAAGCGTGTTACTAATATTATTATTATTATATAAATAAACTGTATTTAAAATGAGTTGCCTTTTAGAGAAGTGATTATATTTGTATGCCAATATTTTCCTATGGTAAAGTTTTGTTTTGCACTTTTATTTTGATAGTAATAAGATCGGGACTCTTATTTTGAAGGAACTTTTACCGGTTAAATCGGTTTACTGATAAAGATTTAGCCCCAGAAAGCACATGGCTACTTAGCTTGAATGACGTCATTCTGGATGCTAAGTAGCCATGTGCTTTCGTGTTATCGGCTGAATCTTTATTTATTGATTTAGATCACGTTACTGTTCAAGACAGCCTATATGTCTGAACTCGATCCTTAGAGTAATGTGTTACGGAGCCTTCTCTTCAATATTGTTTCCACATAACGAGCATTTTGTGCTGCTCTTTTCCAATGTGGAAGCAGAATGTGTGAAAGCATACAGCACGATGCGGGGTGTGTCTCTAGACATCTCTAGACTGGAATAGTGGGGCCCAGTACGTGAACTCGCCTCGCAGGTGCACACGCCAGGATAGAGGACATCAGACTCCAGAGAAAACTTGCTCGAGTCCAAGTCGGAGAGTCAATGGTCGAGTCCAAGTCAGCGTATGCGATAATTCACGAGTCCAAGTCATCGTGCGCGAGAATTCACGAGTCCGAGTCGCGTCAATCAGTGCGCGAGGTCGAGTCACGAGTCCCGAAAATCGGCACTTGAGTCCGAGTCCAGGACTCGAATACTCCATCTCTGAGTTCTAGTACAGTAAAGTTCAAATACAGATTATTTCAGTTCATCGAAATGCTGCACCTTAATGTTTGTTTTATTATATTTTGTATGTATTTGAGTGAATACATTATTCACAGTTTAACAATAATTAAAAAATATATATATATATTTTATGTTTTGTGATCAGTTTTTCTGCTGTACCGAAAACGTACTGAACCGTGACCTA